GCATTTACATGCTGATTGGAAAGTCGGCCAACGTGATCCACCTCTAGTAGTTTCATTGCTTTATTCGAGGTTTTAGTGGCCTTGTAATACATTTCTATGTGTAGTTACCGCGTCGTTAACTCTGTGTCCTAGCCGTAGGTTATAGTCCCAATGGTGGTCTGTTGTTCACACTTCGGCACTATCTCTTTACGTATTGTTTCAACCGGTGTATCGCCAACACTGAACTTATCGTCAGTCTGTCACCTGTGTGTATCTTTCTCTATGAGTAACCCATCATACATTTTCCTGTAGTAGGTTCCCATTAGGTCGGCGGGCGGGGGTTGGCCAACATATAAGCGTACGCCTAATGTCGCAGGCGAATCTTTCAGTTTAAGTCAACCAACTCCTTACATAGGACGATGATGCCGGCCTCATGCCCGCTTGTCTCCAGAGACAACCCTGCGGTTTCATCCAGTGACGACATTCCAAAAGCGTCCGTCCTTCAGGAGGTGGCTCCCAGTATAAATATTTGCAATTCATTTGTGATCTTTCGCACTGAGAGCAAGCTCACTGGTGTTGCCAACAAACAAAGGGTTGTTGAATAACTCTGTTGCATAACTTGTTTCTTAGCTCTTATATTTGTGTTGTAACCAAACTACGTGCTGTCTTTAGGCCTGGGGACTTTTGAGTTAGCGTTTTTTTTGAAAAAAATCAGCGTCACACCAAATTTGTCTACCTAAATTTATTTTTGTATGATTGGTGTAACACTAGGGGAGGTAATCAACAAAACAAGAAATACTTTTTTTCGAATGTTTTATCGGGAGGCCACAATCTACGGTTACCAATTAGGTGATAATGTTGTAGGCTGCTGCTTCACTGGCAGTGATTTGTTTAAATCACACTTCTGTTTTGTATCCGTACTGTTCAGCAAGACAAGACTTAAACGCTTGATGCGCCATCAGTAACAGCAGACAACGTTTTGGTAACCACTTAAGGGTATAGCTTGTTTTCCGTTGACATTTGCTCGCTTGAAATTTCTGGTGTTTTGTTTCTGTCAAATGGGTTAGCTTTGAGTTGCCATCTTCTGGCCTACCACAGTTTATCCATCTCTACCGCCAGCCCTCTACGGCTAGATTCTGGCTAAAGCAAACAACATTCCTTACAATTTTGTTTTTGACGCATGTCAAACGGTTCACTTTTGTTTTGGTGTCCGTTTGTTTATCAAAATTTCGGCACGTGCGCGCCTGACCTGCATGACCTTTGCCCCGTTCTCTGGTCCGCTGGTCATCAGTCGGTGATATATGGAATGCGGCTGGAAGTACAGGCCACATTGAGGAATATTTTGGCCGCCCAATCCTGTCTTGAGTTGAACCTATGCATTATTTGGGTAGCAGTTTCAGTGGTCTGCTCACAGCCACTTAAGACAGCGGATCGGACACCTATGTGCGCTTCGATTCATGGCTGCGCGACGTCTCCCATCTTCCTGATCACTTGTTCTACAAATTCCGGAAGATTGTTGCGGCGGATAGATATATATTTTATTGTTTCCTCGCTTGAATTTCCACATCTCACCTTTTACTCTCTGATTCTGGCTAAAGCAAACAACATTCCTTGCAATTTTGTTTTTGACGCATGTCAAACGGTTCACTTTTGTTTTGGTGTCCGTTTGTTTATCAAAATTTCGGCACGTGCGCGCCTGACCTGCATGACCTTTGCCCCGTTCTCTGGTCCGCTGGTCATCAGTCGGTGATATATGGAATGCGGCTGGAAGTACAGGCCACATTGAGGAATATTTTGGCCGCCCAATCCTGTCTTGAGTTGAACCTATGTAATACTTGGGTAGCAGTTTCAGTGGTCTGCTCACAGCCACTTAAGACAGCGGATCGGACACCTATGTGCGCTTCGATTCATGGCTGCGCGACGTCTCCCATCTTGCTGATCACTTGCTTGTTCTACAAATTCCGGAAGATTGTTGTGGCGGATAGATATATATTTTATTGTTTCATCGCTTGAATTTCCACATCTCACGTTTTACTCTCTATATCCACGATGAATTATTCCGTACTGAAGTGTGAAAATACCGCTATGAACACCGGAAAGCAGTTGTGTTTTAACCGGTAATGCTAATTTTTTAGTCTAAAGTTGAGACCTATCCGCAGTTGAGAGACAAAGTATAACAAGACATCTCGGCTGAGTCTCATTAGTTCACGTCACCCGGTTTTTCCAGTGTACATGACTGCATGCGCTTTTGCTTTATTGAATACGCAGTTTAAATCACTTAAGCGCCTTCCATTTTGCAATTCGAACTCCGTCAGGATTGCTTCGGGTGGTTTTAAATTGGGCCGAATTCATCGGCCGTGCCTTGTTCACTTTCTTCAACAATGCAGTCCAACCATCTGTTTGCTGGTCAGATTCTCTTTCCTCAATGTTGTATGTTTTTACTATCCGGGGTACTTTTAGAATCCAAATGTTCTATTGTACTAAAAACATCGTTCAGTCCCAAAGTTTCACATAGTCCCATCATTTACACTGCCTTTATCTTGAACATTACTTCACTTCATTCACTTATGATTGCACACATTTATTTCCGGTCGCGTGAGTATTCTGGATTTCGCTTTCTACATGGCTAGGGCCTACTACCACATGTTCTGCATTGAAGGCAGTGCGTAATTCCCAACAAGTGCTCCCGTCAGTTGATAATTAGTAGGGACCGGTATCGTATGCACTTACAGCGGCGTAATCACGTTTGTGATAGTTTTGGTTTCAGAACAAACAAATGAATCTTTATAAGCACTTCATAATGAGTTCGTCAATGTGCGATCGTCTGTTGCTATAACTCAACCTGTCCGTTTCGTTGCCCGTACGATTTTAAATGTTTTTTTCCATCATTTCTCCCGCATGTGCGGCTTTTTAATCATAGATTACGTCTCAGTGCAACTCTAGCCAACGTCTTATCGAGTTTTCTCGAGTTGTTCACACTGCGGCTTTCCTTTCCTATCTTTGATGTTGTGGCTTTGGCCGTCAGCTACATTTGAGTGCTGGTCAGTGTCAGTCACGCAGTGAGCTCATCGTTGCAGCCAGAATCAAGTACACGACACCCCATGTCCGCATCTATGAAACTCCACTGGCTCGTCAGAAATGAAAATAAGAGCACTGAGAACATAGATTTGCAATAGAAAACTAAAAGAGAAAGAGGCGCACCTTTTGGTTTGCGTGATTAGGATTTTGGTCTTTCTAGGCATCATCCAGACTCAAATTCACATTGTGGATTGGAATCACTAGGTCATGGACCCGCAAAACTTGTGTCTCAAGCTAATCACAGTCAAGCGTGGCCCAAGCACGGAGAGCTAGGTATTTTAACGCTCAGTAGAAAAGAAAGACAAAAAGATGATCGTGCAGCTGTATAGCCCTTTCGGTACCTAGCTACCATGCCACCCGAGGGAAGCACGAGGGCTGGGGCACTGCCAGGTTGCCCAAGCCTAGACAGGGGAAGTTGAGAGGCACTGGTCGGGTTCGAACCACGGACCTTTCGGTCGCCCTCTGACCACATAGCTATCTCGCCCCCTCAACACTCAGTTATGATGTCTTTAAGGCCAGCTTTCTTACGAGGACCCAAACCCTTATCCTGATGCAGTGAAAAGTAGGCATAGCACGAACAGGCAACCTCCTAATAATAAGGCATAATGCTTCCCGATTGTCTCGGAGATTTTGTGAAAAGTTCGCTGTTGTTCACGAAATTCGTTGGACCTAGTGCAAGTTACAATCTGAACTTGCCATTGTAGGCGAACAGCTCTCAAGCGGAATAAACTGAATATGAGCGTAAGGCATTCAAGTCTTAGACTTATCAACGGTTTGTGAAGATGGTGGTAGAACCTCCCCATCTGTGGTTATTTTTCGCTCGCAAGTCAATCCGGGATTTTTTTTTGGAGGGTGGGTGGTAATTTAGTACTCAAAGAGTCGTTTGTTTCCTCATTCACGTTGTCCGATGTGTACTGTTTCTTCCGACTCAGCTTCTTCGGCACCACTTACTTGTAATTTGGTATACATAGTGAGAGTGGGATCCAGTAATTTGGTCCTCATTGATTGAGGATGGTGGTCATTACGGCATGCGTGCTGTTATATCGAGGCTCATTGTCGAGCCACTGTTGTCATTCTATTGTCTTCTGTAAAACGGAACAAGGAACCCTAGTTGGATTGCTTCCTTGGACATTGTGGTGCTTGTTGGGTTTAAATACTTCTAGCCGGTGTTCTAATGAAACTGCTTGTAAGCAGTTCGAACTCTAAGCCAGTGCGATCCGGTAGAGGTATCCTGTTGTGAATGCTGTTTTCTCTACGTCTCGTTCGTATTTCAACGGGGTGCAGCTATAGAGTTTCCTTTGATGTGATCCTGCTTTCAGTTCGGTTCTCTTACCAATGCCTCACGGACACTTTTAAACTGCTCCACTCTGCTTCTGCTGTGGCCTGTCCTTGGATTGGATTTTCGAGATTCTGTGATGGTTTGCTATCATCAGTCTACCCTACTCCGAGCAAATCACCTGAAAAATGGACGACAAAAAGTCGGCAAAATACACTCATTTCTGAGTTGAGCATGTATACATTATTCATCGACTGTGCTGCTCAGGAACTTTTTCAATTGACAATCTCGTCCTCCGGTTGGTTATACAAAACAGGTTCCCGGGGGTGGGGAGTTATTCTTCCTCCATCCGCATCTCCGTACCCTATTCAACGCCCACGTTTGTCATTGCGTAACTGTATCTTTTGTTAACTGGATCTGATTGTGGACTTGTCCAACAGCATCAATCACACGCTCCACTGACCGTTTCGTAATCTTTTATCTGCATTCATTTTTCCCATACCCAGCTACGTGTAGCAGAATCAGCCCCCACACGTATTCTTTCCAATGAAATGCGGTTGGTTGCAATTTGCGATTCTGACACCCTACAAATGATTACCTGTGACGATCTCCCTGTTTATAAGAGTTTGACTGTCATATTCGTTTCTTGTTTCGTTCCTTTTTTTAGCTGAATCCCTAGTCCAGCCCCGCCCTCGTCCAGACCGATCACTGAGTCCAGATTCAGCTGCGGAGTACTGGGCCGAAGCCAGGCGACTTGCATCCTATCCGAACGCGCGTATTCCCGACTCCACCAGCTTGCCCGCGATTGAGCGCTTTGATTTTCCTGCCCCACCTTCACCGGCCGTCGTGATGATCGAGAAACGTAAGGAGTTCTTTTGGTCAATAATTCACTGGTTGATCAATTTCATTTTGTCAAGCTAACTTAGCATTCATCTGGGCCGGTTCACTAATCTGCCAAACTACCTGCGGTTTGCCAACTGTGCGTTAGAATCAAGTATTCAAACTACTGTCGCTTAGTTTTGAAGAGAATGATCAGAGACAAAAAAAGCTGAATGCGAGCTATAGGTGTAGAAGGACGTACAGGAGAACACTAGAATAAAGAGGTGAACATCCCATTTATAGGCGTACCATCAATTGTTTTCACTCAGGCGAAGTGATCTTCAATGTATATAAGATTTTGTGGTATGGAAATACACGTGTAAATCCCAACAGCTGGAGAAAGGGCAAAATTACTAATCGCTTTTCAAGTCACAGTAAGCGCTAGTACAGTCAAGACTCGCAAATCAGACACAAAGTGTCCGTCATATTGCGTCAGGTGTGAAAGTCAATGGCAAGAATAAACACCCAAAGCCATGTGCCACGCATAAGTGTCATAAATACGTAGAGGGCCGAGAATGGCGAACTAACACAAGTCACTGATTGTGAAGTTAGGAACACCCAGTCCAACAACAGCCTTGGCAGACTGTGGAAAGCAGGTCCATTGATATGAAAAGCATCGATTGTTGAGCTAAAAAATCAACATCACAGTCGATGGTACTCGGAGCTGAGACGATAGAAGCAAACAACAGTCAACACCATACTCCTGCTTATTCTCATTCCACACAGTCTGCGCCCATCCGGGACTATGCTTACGTCCATCGCAGTTGCCCGGCTATCCTCAACTGCATTTACGTCAGGCTCGACCAAAGACTCCGAAGTACTTGCTTTAAGCTAATCGAAGATGGTGAATTCCGGACAACAGAGGCGTTCCATGATTTGCGTTGCAACCCAAGTATGACGTGCACGTCGAGCATCGGGCGAGATCCGACAGAACCTTACAAAATGCAGCATCATTAACTACATTACGTAGTGCTCGACAATGCGTAGGCGCAAAGCTTTCCACGCCCACTTTCCGCTGCATCGGGATGGTTGAACTCTTGGTTTGGATCCTGAGCCTCACTGCTTGGATGTAGCGTAGGCGCAAAGCTTTCCACGCCCACTTTCCGCTGCATCGGGATGGTTGAACTCAGGCTTGGGATCCTGAGCCTCACTGGCTTCGATGTAGTTGCTTGGGCCGCACTTCAGTAGACGTAGCCAGTCGCGGATACATCCGAATTTTTGGAAGGTGTTTAGGTGAACGTGTTCGATCTCAAGTGAATGTGTCATCCTCGGAAGCAGGTAGTTCTTTGTGATCCCCAGTTCTGATGCGGCGCACACGGGACATGTGTCACCTCATCGAACAGTGTCAAGAGCTGCTGTCGGCGTTTACCGTCTCATTTTCTCTTGAAAGTAGAGCGAACATCAAAATATATCACCGTGTCTGTCGGCCCTATTGCAGTGATAAGTTCCTCGTCGAAGCAAAAAGGTTCGACTGAGACCGCGATTACGCCATGTTTTCCGTCCCCCACAATCACCATTGCTTTCGGCTTTCTGGCGTTGACCGCCATACCAGCTCTTCCCAACTCGACCTCAGCTACTTCTAGTTTTTATTTAAGGTGAGCATACCCTTCTTCACCCAAGACCAGTCGTCATTAAAGGTATAACCATCCACTAATCTGTCATGGGACTGGTAACCAACTTGCGGGATCGACAGTCCGAGAACTTAATTCGTCATGCTGAACAAAATTGTGATGTATGAATCTCCACGACTCTGCCTCGGTGAACATCGGAACTGCTATCGCTTTTTACAGGATTATGCGGTGCATGAAACTGAGGGGTGATGGTGATCTAGACGGCTCAGCAGATATTACATTTGTTGCATTTGAAACCCAGTCGAACGCTGTCAGGATGTCAGCAAACGCCCAACGGGGGTCGTTAGCAGTCGCTGAAGAGTGACAAAGCAGTGTGTGTAAAAGCGCGGTAGCCTCCGAACAATCGCCCCGATGGAGGAGTGTAGACTGAAGTGAAGGGAATTGCAATGTACGGCTTCAGTGATCAGCAGGCATTTTATGAAAGTGCTGAACAAGAATGGACGACACGAAGATTATTGCCACTTGGTTCGGTGAAGTCGTATTTATGGCCTTCAGGAGAAACACGGACACGACACACCAATGGTGGGCATCTCCGAAATGATAACAGTAACTTGAAATACCCAGAAAGGGCGTTATCATTGAACTGCCGAGGCATTCTGTCCGTGGGCTTGTCAAAACCTGAAGACGGATCGCTCATTAGGCGGTTTATACGGCCAACTTCTTCAGTTTTACTTGTTTCGTTCCAAACGCAGTCGGCTGGAATCAAAATGCAGTCGGCTGGCGGGAGTGCACGATTTAACCGTTACATGTGTTTTAGAGCACAGAACACCCTCTCCGTTACTTTTTGGTGTCCAGAGATAAGCTGTGATTTCCTTCGGCTAATTCCTCCCACGATCCATCGAGCACATCAGAAGCTGCCTTTTTTCTCCTTTGTTGGTATGAGTTTTGGATGGCGGTTTAGTTGGCTTAGACTGTCTGCTTTCGGTTGACTGGACTTACTGACGACGGCACCGGAAGACAGGTTCACACCTGTGGGGAAAGTCTTGGATGCCAATTTTCTTTGGGAACAGGCGGGAATAATAAACCGGAATAATCGCCGGCTAGGTCGTGTCGTTCGTTGTCGAATGTAACCCGTACATTGAAATCCAACCGGGTGGTTGGCCCTGTCTGGAGTTAATGTGTCATCCTCGGAAGCAGGTAGTTCTTTGTGATCCCCAGTTCTGATGCGGCGCACACGGGACATGTGTCACCTCATCGAACAGTGTCAAGAGCTGCTGTCGGCGTTTACCGTCTCATTTTCTCTTGAAAGTAGAGCGAACATCAAAATATATCACCGTGTCTGTCGGCCCTATTGCAGTGATAAGTTCCTCGTCGAAGCAAAAAGGTTCGACTGAGACCGCGATTACGCCATGTTTTCCGTCCCCCACAATCACCATTGCTTTCGGCTTTCTGGCGTTGACCGCCATACCAGCTCTTCCCAACTCGACCTCAGCTACTTCTAGTTTTTATTTAAGGTGAGCATACCCTTCTTCACCCAAGACCAGTCGTCATTAAAGGTATAACCATCCACTAATCTGTCATATGACTGGTAACCAACTTGCGGGATCGACAGTCCGAGAACTTAATTCGTCATGCTGAACAAAATTGTGATGTATGAATCTCCACGACTCTGCCTCGGTGAACATCGGAACTGCTATCGCTTTTTACAGGATTATGCGGTGCATGAAACTGAGGGGTGATGGTGATCTAGACGGCTCAGCAGATATTACATTTGTTGCATTTGAAACCCAGTCGAACGCTGTCAGGATGTCAGCAAACGCCCAACGGGGGTCGTTAGCAGTCGCTGAAGAGTGACAAAGCAGTGTGTGTAAAAGCGCGGTAGCCTCCGAACAATCGCCCCGATGGAGGAGTGTAGACTGAAGTGAAGGGAATTGCAATGTACGGCTTCAGTGATCAGCAGGCATTTTATGAAAGTGCTGAACAAGAATGGACGACACGAAGATTATTGCCACTTGGTTCGGTGAAGTCGTATTTATGGCCTTCAGGAGAAACACGGACACGACACACCAATGGTCGGCATCTCCGAAATGATAACAGTAACTTGAAATACCCAGAAAGGGCGTTAGCATCGAACTGCCGAGGCATTCCGTGTGTGGGCTTGTCAAAACCTGAAGACGGATCGCTCATTAGGCGGTTTATACGGCCAACTTCTTCAGTTTTAGTAGACTCAATCAAAATGCAGTCGGCTGGAATCAAAATGCAGTCGGCTGGCGGGAGTGCACGATTTAACCGTTACATGTGTTTTAGAGCACAGAACACCCTCTCCGTTACTTTTTGGTGTCCAGAGATAAGCTGTGATTTCCTTCGGCTAATTCCTCCCACGATCCATCGAGCACATCAGAAGCTGCCTTTTTTCTCCTTTGTTGGTATGAGTTTTGGATGGCGGTTTAGTTGGCTTAGACTGTCTGCTTTCGGTTGACTGGACTTACTGACGACGGCACCGGAAGACAGGTTCACACCTGTGGGGAAAGTCTTGGATGCCAATTTTCTTTGGGAACAGGCGGGAATAATAAACCGGAATAATCGCCGGCTAGGTCGTGTCGTTCGTTGTCGAATGTAACCCGTACATTGAAATCCAACCGGGTGGTTGGCCCTGTCTGGAGTTGCCGAACTCTTAGCTCACCCAGTCGATATAACAGAGGGGTGGTTCTACGCGCCGACTGGTGTCCTCAATCTCTATCAATTTTACGTTAAACTCAACGTTCATCTGGGATGTTGTGTGGGTCTGTCCAAACCTCTTATGATCAGCCAAGCGCTGCGTGCTTCTGACGTACATTGAAGGACTGGTTGAAAACGTTCGTTTTAGAGGGACTTGCTTTAGAGAAGTTTTGCGAGCAGGGAGATCGGAATTGTTCAACAACTAGTATCACTGTGCGCACAGACTCATGAGGTAGTGATTCCATGCAATGTTTGACCGTTGATAATGTATTCTTGCCCATTCGCACAGTCTCTGCTGAACTAACTACTATTGTTTAGCGTGAGTATCGGATGGTAGAATTACCTAATCTATTAATTTTTACCGCTTTGTCTGTATGACATCAGAGACTCACTTGTTGCTTTTTGGGCAGAATGCCTCACGCTGTTATGAGGCTTGTGCATACTTCTGTCTGCAAATTTTCAGGTGCTGACTAAATCTATTTTTAGCACATGATAAGTTTGTCTCTACAATGAACTTACTGATGGGTTGGTTCTGGATTTAATGTAGCCTGTATAGTCGTAAAATATCTTAATTATGGTTTGGTACGCTCAAAGGAAAACCTTGTCGAACTTGGTTGCTCATCAAGTTGGAAGAGAGGGCGCGTCGTAAATTGATTATTTTATGCGCTTTGTTTTTACGCTGTTAATTTTAGGATGGTTTGTTTTCCAACAGCTGTCTAAAATCCAGTCCTACTCGCCGATCCATGTTTGTAATTCTGGAATGGCTTCAATGCACTCTGCTCCCGCTCCATCTTTCTGACGGTCTGCTCGTCAGTGATTTTTCCACCATCCACGGTGTATCTTCTTTACTGGTAGTGTGGCATCTGTCACATAAAGATGCCGCGAAGCCGACACATTCCGGTGTTAGTCACTCACACCGAGATGTCGCGTATCTTCTGGTCAACGTATGGGGCTAAGTGTTTGTGGAACGTTGCCTTGGCATGAGAAACATTCGTCCATCATATTGTCGCTCACTGTGCGATGGAACAAAACACATTCACTTTCAGCTTGGTGTGATCACACGCACCCACTGTGGCGAGGTTGAATCGATCAAACGGAAACTGTGTTGTGTAAATCATGAAGCTAGTCACATATCCTTGGTGCTATGTTCATTGTTACACCTACCCAACAAGAAGTCCTTAGTTATCTAATGCTGGTCTTCTTTTGTCGGTGCTACTGTTATGATTATAGCTTAGCTAAGAAGACCGACCTCCAGATACTCGGTGTTGGTGCTGTAGTATAATGTCTCACTGCAAACTTGTCAGCCATGGACAGCTTTCTCGTTTCCGCACGTGCTGTATCGCATTCGTTGATTGATGCATCTGAAGCGTTTTTGCCAATTCCAGTAAACCCAGTCAATCGTGTGGTTTTCAGAGCTGCTAACTGTTTCCAGAGGTTCCTGATTTCGCCCTAGCCGCCTATTATACCGTGAACAAACTCGAGATGGCCTAATGGCTAAAGTGGGAACTTACTGATCATAAGGTTTGGACCAAACGCCGGGATTTCGCCTGTTCCTATCTAATCTTGGGGCTTCGCACTGAACGATTATTTAGCATTACGTCAGATTACATACGTATAGTCAAGTTTAACGGTGAACACAGCGAAGCTAATCGTCAGTCCTGGCTGTGGATATTTTTTTTGCGCAGCTGAACGCTTTTGGTTGCCTCAGACAACCAGCAATCTGGAATCAATTAGTTGTCAATCTTCTCCTGTTTTACTGATGTATCCGTGACTATGCTTCCTGAGCACACTGACCTTGTTTTAGCCGCTGCGTAACACGTGTCAACCTCCCTTCTATACCAAACTTGCCAGCCAGTACTCAACCCCAATCACTAGACTAGAGACAATTGCAAACACACGAGGATCCGTGCCTCCTCCACTAACCAGTGTATGTTGTTTGATACTATTTCAAAAAGTACTGCACTGTCTGTTCAGGCTTCCAGTAGTGATTGTCTGCACTACGCCCAATGAGATGTGGATTAAAATTAAGCATGAAGTAATCCGTTGTTCGTTGATCGAACAAGGTAAGCGAGAAAGAGCGAGAAACAGCGATTGGATTGTCCGGCCATGTTTGTGTAGCATTGTATGCTACTAGAGCATGAACATCCTAGGCTGCTAATTCTCACCCACGTAATTAAAATGCCATTGAAATGACGTGGGGATTGATAATGCGTATTTCTGTCGTGATCAACACTTTTGTCGAGACAGTTCAGGTCCATAAAAACACCAGCAGGAAAACGTGGATCCAAAATCCTCCTGGTCCAACAGAGTGTAACCCATCTCATCATTCCCGCTTTCTTCCTAGAACGCTGTGTCCTGTGGTTGTTAACCCTTTGACGAAGTGCTTGAAAACTGTGCTAGTTTCCTGCTTTCTTCCTAGAACGCTGTGTCCTATGGTTGTCAACCCTTTGACGAAGTGCTTGAAAACTGTGCTAGTTCAAAAGACCGACGGTTTAACACAGCCCGATCCATCGTGTTTTACATACCACAAAGGTGGCTCTCAGATATTCCAATTGACCCCCAGTTGTAACTTCTTATGCTTACTCTGCCCCATTTCATTTTTACACATTGCGCTGATATCATTATTATCATCATCATCATTGTCAGCTGTAATAACCGCGTACTCGTCGTACAGTGGTTGTAGCTGCCGCAGTTTCGTTCACCGATGATTCGGGGGAGAGGCAGGTAGCTGCGCATTGCAGGCGGGAACTGATAAATTGGTGCATAAATCCAGCACTGTCAGTGGGCAGTTGGAAAAGGAGCTATGAATTGAAGGCAATAGCTTGGAGGCACGAGCGCCATTGAGGGCGCGACTGGGCCATGTCTGACAATGTCTCTAGCCATTGATGTGGCCCGTCTCGGGGTTCCCATCCAGGAAGACGGCAGTGACCAGCGCAGCTGAGTTTGCTGGTAATGGGTTTCATACTTCGCTGCGAATATTAAAACCAGAGACAAATAATATGATTATGGTGTCATAAGTTTTTTGGTAATGGCACCAAAATACAGCATTCCATCGCTCGGAAAGAAATAAACTTCCACGGATCGGAAAATATTTACTCAGTGGGTGGGAAGAGTTTCGCGTAATAGGATGACCAATACGAACCTTATCACGCGCCTTCGGCCCTGAGCCAATGAAATTTTCTTTTTTGGACGGATTTCTTTTAGCACAGATTAATATTTTCAGATATTCAGCACCTACCCGTAATTCACACTAACACACTACATGAAATCTCTGCGTCTGTCCTACCGGTCATCTAGTTCCAGCCAAATTTAGCTACAGGCTACGAAGATAAGCTTTCACACTCAGACATCCTTTTTCGCTGTTAAGCAGAGGCGAAAAACAGTGATATGGATTAATGGAAACTGAAGAGACGTTGCGTTTTCTTCTGTGTTTTGTCATCCACTCTGTCAATTTGTAGCTCAACTGTGAACTGTTCCAAATCTAACAACGTAATGAAGGTTGCATGTTTCATACAAGGAAATGTCTCTCTCCAAATTTATTCGAGACCGACGTCAAAAAATCTTGCACAAACCAGTATCTCATTTGTAGAATATTAACAATGTATCCACCTATTGACCGTGGTTTACAACGCTGAAGTATGATTTTCTGAATCTTGTTTATTCTGACTTCATTTTCGGTCTAATTTTCAAATAATCAATATTCCCTATCAAGATACCCCTTCAGTGGTATCCCTGCTAAGGACGCACGATTTCAACATTCTAAGTCATTCCCCTTTATTGGGCAACAATTCATTTTTGTTAGGAAATATTCTACATTTCCCACGACTGGTAGCGATTTTTTTCTGAGAGCAACAACCGGGCAGTTCGAACGATGTTGGGTGGTAACAGGGTATTGATTTCTTCTTAATATGTCATAATTGACAGCCCACCAATTCGACCATTTTACTTGAAACTTCTTGATTATTTTGTCGGCTAATCAGGACTTTTGGCGCACAAAACCTGCGGTGTTTTTTATATATTTTGCTGAGTTATTTCTACAGAATGGGCGAAATACTTTGGATCAATCAGTCTGTTCTACAGAGTTTAGCTCTTGCCTGCTTATCTATGTCAGAATAGTAGTCCGAGTAGATCAATGTCACCGGTACCAATATACTATTACTTTGACAGCTCACAGCTGCATCAGTCAAAAGGATTCTGTGATTGACTCGGTCAGCTTATTCATATTCACATTGATTTTTGTTTTCCCCCGATTCAGGTCGTGAGAAACGACTAACTGGGAAACGTTCCAACGTGGGTACTTTGGATAGTGAACAGTCACGAGATGGCACGATGATCGGCGCGGATTTAACCGATACCGAGCTCTCTGCTCTACCTCCGAGTGTGTCGCTGAAATTACATCAGATCGATTCAGAAATCGAAACGCTTAAAAGATTGGGTGAAAGTTCTGGTATTACAGGGGTACGTTTGTGTCTCAGTTCTACTCGCTCTATCCTGACCGTTCTCTTGGGGACGTGTTCGCTTCATGTCAACGTTTGTTACTTTTCATAACATGGCGTTTTGATTACCCCCAAAAATCTCGTACAAACTGATCGTTTTCAGTCTTGCAACAGTTCTTTATGAATTCGCTTATTTATTCTGTGTTCATGTTGAAGATTACGCTGTCAGGTGACCAAATATCACCGCCCTCATCTCCTTTTTATACTAGACCAATATCCGCTTCTTCGGGTCACTGGTATTATTTTATAGTTCGTGGGTCATGAGAAGATTCCGAGGTTTCACAGAATGCTTAGAAATCTAGGCACTCTGTGCATAGGTTCATTTCACTTTCGAGGTGAATTGTCGAGTAGAAATTCGTCGTTTCACTTTTCCCCAGGGTATATTCCTTCTCCATGCAGCTTTGTATGATTTGATGAAAACCGAACGCAAGTGGAATTCGAGGTCAACTTCACTCAGTGTTAGATCCTGTTCGATTTCTACCACTGACGGATTGGGGATCAAGATGCTCAACAGTCTGTTTTTTTATCATGTCCGTATTGGACAGCGTGATGCTGCAGACTCACCTTTTCAGTCTCTTCAGTAGGGAAAAAATCTTGTTGTTCCAATCGCTTAGGGTCTCCATGGAGTGCCCAATGCATCCTGAGATGTTATAACAACAGTAAAACCCTGTTCCAAATCACTCAGGGATTAACCCGATGTTTGTGAATCTTATTTTCACTGTAAACAGGCTCTGATTCAAGAGTTGGAAGCAAGCAAGTTGGTGTACGCACGGGCTCCCGAACTCGACCCTATATCTGCCTCCCGTTCTCCCAATGCTGGTACGGAGCCAAGTTATAAAACTCGGTATGAACGACACGTGTTCTCCTGTAAGTTTGAAGTTTGCCCCTGCATAGTTGTTTTGTTCTACTCAGGGTCTGGGTTTTCTCTGGCCCCATTACTTTGCCTCTACTGCGCTGCTATCCTGTTTTCTGTATCCCAAAGCTGAGCTATTTTGGGCCAATTTCCGACTGTGTGGAAATTCGGTAGATACACTTGTATGACCATCCACCGACGTTTCACGCTTTAGTTTTCTTGCCAGTTGGAAGAAAGTATACTCCCTTTCTGCTTACACTGGTTATATTGTCCTGCGGGCCTTGTTTGTACCAGCAAATCAGTTCAAGGAACACTGATGCGGCACGCTTAAATATGCCAATTTTCAAGGATCGGTGCAGCATCCTCTACGTAGGGAAAATCTTGAGTTAACAAAGTATATTGTAGATGGTATGTTAAAGTTTAGCGAAGCTTTCTTCACATAGTTAGTAAGAGTTCGGCGGTTTCTGAGTGTTTGGCTGATGTTGAGCATGCGCGATTGGGTATTTCGTTTTTCTTGGTGCATACTTGTCAATAATGAGCATCTGTGATTGTGACAATGATACAACACGGTGAACGCAAATGGTGCTCAACAGTCCGTCAACTTACTGGCGCTCGTCACCTTTGATGCGTAGTCCATCAATCAGTTGTTTGTAGTACCAAATGTTTTATCAGACCCAGATGGTCGCACAGATGATCAGACCATGTAACGTAGATGTTCACGGCAGGCGATTGACACTCAACTGATTGGACAGTGACGCATCTCCCACTGTTGAGTTGAAACGATCGATGGATGCTTCGGTTGTTTGGGATGCCTAAGGTGGGTGAACTGTGTAAATCCGGCGGAAAGTGACTCCGGCAAAGACGGGCCTATGAAACAAGCTTTAATAATAACTACCCAATCCACGTTCGTGAATTGGAGATAAATCTGTTACTAAGTTCTATGTGATGCTTCTCACCAAATGCATCTTTCCCTCAATGCCACGTGGACTACCCAATCCACGTTCGTGAATTGGAGATAAATCTGTTACTAAGTTCTATGTGATGCTTCTCACCAAATGCATCTTTCCCTCAATTGCCACGTGGCGCTAAAGCAATTTTACAATCATTGAATTGAGTTTATTCTTCTCTGCAATTTGGCGTACCGCACACCAGGTGTCCCCGCTCTTTCCGATGATGTAATCAAAATTCCGGGTAAACCAACCGTAACACTTAAGCTGTTCAGCCATTTGGCTTCCGCGAAACGAACTCATGTCATTGAGAGGTGTGCACAAATAACGACCCATTTGTGGAGTTCATAACCTCCATGGATAATATGTTGTCCCGTACTGTCTTTGGTCGTGGTGCGTTACCTCTTCAGCTATTTTCCGAATGGATAACACAATCCTTGACGTGGGATAGGGACCAACCTTTTTTGTAACTCCAGTGCCGTTCTTGCTTAGTTCTCACTGAGTGACTGGAGACGGTCGTGAAAGGTTACGCTGCGGAATCTCATCAGTGGACACTTCCCAGGTGACAAACATCTAGCATTTGCCGAAGAAATCAGTGGTAATAAGCCGCCAGTTTTTCGATAATTTGTAATGTTTTGCTTTTATTCAGGTGTGCATTTATAGCCGTCGGACAAGTATGTTCCACCGGAAAGATATCGGGTAACAGGCAGAACGTTTAAGCAGCGCTACCCATATGGCCGTTGAATTCTGGAAACAATTTCATCCGCCGAGTCCACTGCAACGGGTTAACGTTCCGATTGTTCTTGGTTTGAACTAATGACTTAACTAATACACCTAGGCGAAAAACAATGAGCTGTCAGTCAGAGACGCTAGTACAGGCTGCATGGTAGCGGGCATCATGGGGGGCACAGACGAATTAACTCGTTTCCACAAGACACGCACTACAGATCATACTGAAGTACTCAGCATGTGAATCACTTTCATCCTTTGTCTCTGCTGAGCTTGTGTTACCTCACTCAAGTTCCTATGGGCGTGTCACAGATTTTGCTGAATGGAGCATATATTAAGCTCTTACTAAACATTTTTCGCCAAAAATTTGGGAGCAGTTTTTAGAAAGCAACACAGTTCGAGAATTGATTGGACATCTCAGTGGTTCCACCCGTTGGTGAAATTTTCGGACCTATGTTTTATTTTCTTGATTTAAGAGAGCTACTAACACGAGGTTCGAATTTGGTGCGAACACACCAGTTTCTTTGGAGCAGATATGAACACTCATTTGGTCATGGAGGGAAATTACACATCATATAGCGTAGATTAATATTTTCGAAAATCAGCAATTAACTACCGCGTAGGTTATTGTAGAACTGTCTTCCAATGTTTCAACAAACTGCTCGGTTGTCCTCAAATACACCTTTGTTTTCGACGGTCAAATCCCACGCTTTTGTAACTCTCAGATAGGTTTGAAATTTAGATTTAATCATCTTAGTGGGTGAAAATATCTGGTGCCATGCATATTTTATTCACCTTAAGAGATGTCATTTGTTAGTTTATAATGGAATTCCTTCAGTACCACATGGTCACTACTGGTACGATTAACGCGAAAGACTAAATGCTGAATGATATTGCAGTTGATTTGACTTGACGGCAGTTATCTCCTCTGACTCATCCACCATTCATTTCACAAACGATCGACGACAGTTCATGATTGTTCACTTGATCCTGGGCCGTCCAACGTTTTCTCGTGTGCGTGTCGTTCGCGTAAGGAGCAGCACTTACCGCAAACAAAGTTTTCCCGGGCGTCACAACTTACAGCATAACGTTTGTTTGCCGGTGCGACCATCTCAAAGTGTGTACACATTTGCTCGTTTGACACCCCAAACAGCTGTCTGCTAGAGGGAGCGGCAAGGCATGGTTGAGGATTCTTGAGGATTGCTTGGACTCCTTTTTCGCAAGTCTGTCGCAGTTATCGATCTAATTTTGATTCCGTTGGCGTAGCCTTTCGGCAGCCCGTGATACGGTTTTTCCAACATTATTAATCTAACATTAACCAGTTCTGCTAGTGTGCCATTCTTGGTTCGATTACGGTGGAAGAACAGCTCTGGTCCCCTTTGATTCCGTTGGCGTAGCCTTTCGGCAGTCCGTGATACGGTTTTTCTAACATTAGTAATCTAACATTAACCAGTTCTTGGTTCGATTACGGTGGAAGAATAGCTCTGGTCCCGCTGACAGCTTGCAGGGCGATCCAATAACAATCGTAGTTTTGTCGACCGAACGTGAACACAAATTCGCGCAGCTACCTGCAACGAAATCAAATATCTCTCGGTTCGTTGGACTATCGCTGCATTATTGAAGAGTGTGATTCTCGAATCAGTCTGAACAAGACAGTAAGAACAAGGTTGCAGGATTAATTCATTTTGTACAATCTTGCATGGAACAAACCTAACGTGACTGATCAATACAACCTCTATATTGCCCCAGTGTTTGCCTTACTCTGACTGCTTTGTGCTTTGACCCGGACAAATAGGTAAAAATCAACTATGTGGTCGGCTTTGACCGGATGCTGGTAATCGGAGACTTCCTTTCAGTTTCCACCAAGTTAAATCCGGATTAGCTGACTGGTTATGATGTCGTTTGGACAGATGCTCTTTTGCCGTAGTTAGTAAGTTAGTAGTTAGTAGTAGTTAGTAGTTAGTTAGTAGTTAGTAGTTAGTTGTGTACCTCCCACATGTGTAGCTGAAATGGACTTGTGGACTTCCAAAATCCCATGAAATCCGTTCACCAGTTCGTTGCATTTTAGCTTTGAACGGTTTCCTGTTGTCATTCGTCAACTACTTAGCTGGTATGTATCCTCAAACCTATCCAAACGGCTCTTACCACACCCTGTTTGAAAGGTACCCATAATCTCTCACTCCACATTGATCATCTTGGTAGCTCTCGTACAGTCGTGTGCCTTTTTGCTAAGCAACCGCTTTTTACCAGTTTCCTAATGGAAACTGCGGTTCCTTTCTGCTGCTACCTAGACATTCACCTTGGTCTGGTTAATCTATTATTAAACATTTGATTTTCCTGTGCACGAAGAATGTCATTTTTTCCAATACACTACTCACTTAAAAGCAAATAGATAGTGTTGCCATGGTGAGTCTTTTTGAGCCCACATTGGTAGATATTTTTTTATCGTGAAACTTGAGCAATCGGCAGTTACCTTTGTGTGAGCGATATTTAGACGACTGTTTACTAGTGAGAAGATAGAAGCCGTTGAACGCTTGCTCCCAGTGTTTAACACACTCCACCGAAGTAAGTCTTTAACTTATGACTTCGAGGTGGTAAACAAAATTCTTTTTTTTTTTTTGCACGTGCTTTGGTTCAAACTGATTCGCACTCTAGCTAAGTTTGCCGAGGAAGCCAAATTGCTAAAGCATGTTCGGTCAAGCAACTAGTCAGACCGTTTCGTTGAAAGGCATCGCAGAACGAGTGATAAGGGGGCGCAAGCCACAGTACTGAAGAAGTCCCTTCGCCAAGCGACTCCCTGAACTGGTGACCGTGCTTTTAGTCAGCCTAAACGGACGTTAGACGCCAAACCTCCACGGCATCACGACTGACCGTAAGGGTATAGATAAAACCTATGCCACTGTCGCCAATCAAAACTCCAATTAATTACTCCATTTAGCATTTCATTTACAGATGTGGGGGATACATATTTTGGTAGAACTAGAGACACGAGCACTTGCCCCAATGAGTTCATACCTTGTCGGTTAATCCTGGTTAAGCTTGGTAGGAATCGAAAAGCAAGTCTCCGGTATCTGGTCGAAACTGAAAACAGAGTTGATTTTTTCTTCTGTTTCCGGGTCAAAGCACAAAGCAGTCGTCCGCATAAAGGGGAGCGAATATAGGAACAATATAGGGGTAATATTGATTAATCAATTTAGGTTTACCCCCTGCGCATAGAAAGACCTGGAGGACTCTTAAACTACCCTGGTTTTATTGATCGGTTACGTTGCTGCCTAGTTCTATGTAAACGATGCAACCAGCTCCGTATCTTGTTTCAATTTATTCAGTTTTACGCATATCGGGACGTACGAGATTGTAAAAAATGAATTAATGCTGCAACACTGTTGTTCCCAGTGTCTCGTCCTGCGAGTCATCATCATCATCAACGACAGCATGACATCAGTGAAAACACCGTTCCGTCTGATATCCAGTGCTTGAGTGCGCCTGGTTGGGTCGTGCCACAGGCAAAATTCCCAGCACTATGCAAAGAGGTAGCAATCTCGTCCCAGTATGAGTTCACATCTGATGGTGGAGCACTTGGAAGAGACTCTAGAAGACGATTCTTGTAAGTTCGTCTGACATCCGGATCTGCCAGTCTTTCAGTTGCCATGCGATTTGTCCGCACCTTACGCGACCCCGGGAAACGTAGGGAGAAGCGACTCCGGACGAGCGCGTCGTCAGAGTCCACAGATGTGCTCCAAAACGACCGACAGTCAGTTATGGACCCGCGCCATCGGTAACTGATAGCAA